ATGCCGCACAGGGAGAAGGAGTGTCTCCTGCCCGTTGACCGCAGCCTCCGGAGTGTCGTCGTGCTGCGCTCGTGGAGGTGTCGGCCACGCGCAGAAGGGGGTAGGGCGAGGGGGAAGGCCCCTTGGAAACACCCCTGGTTCTCAGCAGGCGCGGGCCTTCTCGGTAGATGTAGGGCTGGCGCCCTCTGAGAAGCAGCCTCCTGCCCAGACCCCCCGACGTCGTAATTTGTCATGGCGTCGGCACCCAGCGGTCTGGACCCATTCCCCCTGACCGTTGTTTCATCATGAGTCGTTCTTTGACGGCCCCGAGGCCCGGGTAGTGACCCCCAGGGGCCGAAAATGGCCAACAACCTCTTGTCGTGATTTCTGCATGGGAGAGGGGGCTGGGCTCTCAGCAGCGCTCCCCCCTCCCCCCTCCCTCCCCCCCTACGCGCCGCCGGAGGTGGCAGAACCACGAGTGCATCAACTGTCTGAGGCGCGCCCACCTCCCGCCCTCCCTCGGGGGGCCACCGGGGGCCCAGGGCGCCACGGCCCGCCGGGCCCAGGCCCCCGACGACCTCGCTGCTCCCACCCTCGCGCGCCGCCTGTTCACTTCGGCCTCCGGTCGGGCCGGACGAGAGGGGGGGATTGGGAAGGGGGGGGTACGACATCTGCTGCTTGCAGCTGGTTTCGCCCGCACCGAGGGGCCCCTTCCTCGATGCATGGCCGCCTCCGGTGCCCGGAGGCGCCGGGAAGATCCGCTGCGTGAGCTGATGTTCAAACCCCCCCTTCGTTGCGGGAGGTCTTGTCCCCACGCTTTCGGCCTCTGGAGGCTCCCTCACCGGGCCTCGGCACCGTCCAAAGGACGACTCGGGACGACGCACCGGCCCTGGGGGCTGGGTCCGAACCTCTTGGGGGTCGACGTCGCGAGAAGGTCCTGGCGTCGGGGGTCTGGGCTCGTCGACTGCACGTCCGAGGGGCCCATCGCTGGAGTGGCCTCCTGGTGTGGGCTTACACGGGGGTCCCCCCCAGCACCGGCCCCGCCCGCGTGGATCTGGGTCCCTTCACGGCCCCCGAAAGCCGCGCACCAAAGGTCACCCTTGTCTTCAGCCGGGCACGTCCCTCTACCGGAGGAATCTTCAAGAATAGTTAGAATAGTGTGAGGCGATATTTCGTGCTCTGTTGAATATGCTTAAACATGTTTTGACTATGCTTCTTATTATTATTCTTCTTCTTCTTCGGAAATCCGCCTGTAGGAAGACATGCCCGACCTAACTCTTGCCCAGGGTCGCCCTTACGCGTAGCCGATTGAGGGGCATCAGACCATCACACGTGTCTCGGCGAAAAAGTGGCCCTGCGGAAGGGGTCGGGACTTCCTGGGCCGCAGATCGGAGAACTAAAAAACGCCTCGCCGAATGTATGGTTAAGTCGGACATGTCCCTCTGCAGGAGGAACATTCAAAACTAGTAAAAAAAAAGTCAGGGGACGAATGTTTGACTATGTTTGCCTGTTTGGGCGTATTTCTGTTTTTTGTTCGTCCAAAATCAGCCTGCAGGACGACATGCCCGACCTAAATGCATGGGTTTGGTTCCAATAGACACGTCGAGATTGGCTCACCCGGCCGTGCCATGACTCTTATCCGTGGGGATCCCTGAGACCAGGACTCTGCATGACCAGGGCGTGGTTGCCAGATCCAGCGGAAGAGAGCGAAGAGTGGAGACTGTTTCGATGCACGGCTGTATTTTTCTCCGGTGCGCCCGGACGGTCCCGGGAGGAAGGGGCGATGACGGTCCCGCGGCAGGACAGCATGCCGACTCCATAATCGTATCTCAAACGTTGGCATCGCGTCATTGGGCTCTCGACGCATCTAACAGAATCTCCGGAGCGCCAACGTCCTGGCTTGCCAAAGCCTCCGTTTCGGGGGCACTCGCTCTGAACCGGCTGGCGTCTGTACGATTGCTCATGGGCCCCCTGGTCACGTGGCTCGACTACACGCGAGAGTGACCCTTCGGGGGAGTGACCTTTCGCTGCGCGCCCACCGAGGCCCCCCGATCGCCGATCGCCGAGCGCGGTGCGACAGTGGCGTCTTGCGCGCTTGTGTGTTTGATCCCCCCGCGGCCCTGCAGAGCCGCGCACCAAAGGCCACTCCTCTGCCCATGGGTCCCTCCCGCGCCCCGCCGGACCTTGGCCGGGCCGGAGGGTGCACGGCCCGAGGCCCGTGCCAACGCACGTCTGCTTCGACTTCCGCACCTTCGTCTGCACGGCGTGCGCCGGCGTGCACCGGGAGTTCGGCCACCGGGTGGCGCCCGTGCGGCGCTGGAAGTGCACGGAGCAGGTTCGGGGCCTCGGAACAAATCAGCGAGCACATGCCACATTCACCCGTCAACGCCTCCCCCTCCCCCCAAATGTTCAGAGTTGGTGAGGGGTCTGGTGAGAGGCACTTCGACCGCGGTCCCCCCCGCGCGTGCCAACACTGAGTTTGGGGGGGAGGGGGAGTGTTCAGTAATTGCTCCCCTCTAACGTCGGGGCTCGGCGCGGAGGGATCGACGACACCCGGGAGTGGCCCTTCGCTGGAGTGGCCTCCGGTGCGGGCTCCTCGGGGGCCCACCGATCGCCGGGCGTGGTGCGGCAGCGGCTCTGCTCGCGCGCTGGGGTGTGGCCACCCTGCGCCCCCCCCTTATTCCGCACGCTTCAGGTCGCTCTTGCCTAGGGTCACTCCGGGGCCCCATTAACGGGGTGGTGACCACACCGTGTGGTGAGTCGGTGGTGATTCGGGGTCTCCGCACGGTTTTGGGACTGGGGCCGTTCTCCGAGGACGTCTCGGGCGACTGGGACCTCCAGGGTCCCAGAGCCGTGTGGTGAGGGGCCCTGCGGTGATGTCTTTGGGGAGTTCGAGGTCATCGCCGGGTCTGTCACCACACGGTTTTGGGGCCCCCAAGTCACTCTTGCGCGGAGCCGAAGGCAGAGGGCGTGGGGATCTCTCGGGCAGGTCTCGGCTGCGGAGGAGTCGCTCCAGAGCTGTCTGGCACTCTCTCAGGGAGCTTTCTGGAGCGCTCTGAATCGGCCGCGGCGCCCGATGCAACCGTCAGACCCGCAGGCTCTCCCCTCTCCTCCGACGTCGCAGTGTGTTCGTGACGCGAACGCCGTGGAATCTCGGCCCCTTCCCCAGGGCAGCTTTTTCATCATGGGTCGTCCTTTGACGGTCCTGGGGCCGAGAAACTCGGAGGAGGAAAAGGTACCGATACCGATACCGCTACCCTTCGCCAGTTTTCCACTTTTTCAGCCGCCTGGGAGGCCCTCGTCGCCACCGCAGGATTCGCGTCGAAATCCTGGTCAGAACACACCCCGGGAGTGGTCCGGGGAGAAGCGGTATCGATACCTTTTGGTTTCCCCAGGAACGACATCAAGAGGTTGCAAACCGAGTCGACTTGAAACAGAAATAGCCTACATTATTGCGGATTGCGGCAAGCGAGCAAAAGCAGGGACAAACATTCCCGCCCCCACCCAATGAAGATGAGATGATGCCCTCCACCATCTCTCGGCTCCCTGACGGGAGCTCTGGCCCTCACGGGCAAGGCGCGTGATGGGAGAATAGTTTCCCCCTCGGGCGCGTCGTGCGCTGTCTGGGGAACGGATCTCACAAGTTCCGATCCAACTCCTTTCGTGTTCCCGCCTCTCCGTCTTCTTCTCCTGCCAGACCTCCTCCAACTCACTGGGCCGCCGTGCGCGGCTACAAGCGCGATGCCAGCAAGGAGGGGAAAAAGGAAAGAGCGGAGGGGATACGGTCTTTTCTTTCAGTCGCGACCTGGGACGCGACGCGCTGGGCAGCAACAACCAGGGCGAGAGCTGGTTGCGAACCGAGTCGTCTGATGGGAAAAGATTAGAGCGGCCGCAGAGCAGACAGCAGCACCAGCACCAGGACCAGTGTAAACCGTAAACCCAAGACGTATCAACGATGTTACAATACACCCTCCCTCCAAGTTCCCTCTTCGCAGGCCCCTGCAAGAATGTGTCATCGTTGCTGGGACTTGCCCCATTGGAAGACAACCGTCTAGTTAAGAATCTTCAGTCGTGCCACGACACAATTCCTGGGACCTCAACGCCGACTGGGAAGAGGGCGCCGCGCTCAGAACGCGTAGCACGTTCACGCGTGGTGCGACGGCCTCGGGAGTCGGGCGAAGTGGCCACACGTTGGCAGCGCACTCTGGGGCCTCACTGGAGCCAGCGCAGACCTTGTGAAGGCTGGGCCTGACCGCGGAGTCTGAGTCTGGCTCGAGGACGTCGGGGCCAAATTGGTACACAGCCCCTCGCTCACACACAAGGGACACAATGGGCATTGCTGGCCGAGTCCGCTTTGTGGGGCTGGTCCTCCCCGCACCGTTGCTGCGACCGTTCCCCAGGCTTGAGGTGCCAACGGGCGCTGTCCGTGGCGAGCGCCTCCTCACCGGTGTCGTCGAACTCATTGCCGTCCACGCCCGAGCCGCTGATGCCGACTCCGGGCGAGCCCTCGTGCCACTGCTGCCACTCTCGTCGAGCTGCACCCTCCGCTGCACCCTGGTTGTCGTGGGGAGGCCGGCTGCTCGACCAGGGGCGCGCGGCGGTCCCGTTCAGGCCTCCCCCTCGTTCGGGCCCGGAACACTTCGCCCGCGCACTTGCAGGTTTAAAGGCTGCATCGGTCGACCCGCTTCCCTGGAGGAGAGAGACAGAGAGAAAGAGAGAGAGAGAGAGAGAAAAAAAAAAAAAAAAAAAAAAAAAAAAAAAAAAAAAAAAACGGGACAGGGGCCGACGCCCACACTCGCGGAGGGCCGCCCAGCTCTAGGCAAGGGCCCGGCCCCCCATCAGCGACACCAGGTCGTCCGGGCGCCCTGGACTTGCTGGGCGCGCACCACCCCAGCCGAGGCCAGCATTACCCATCGGTCGTTGAAAGTAGGTATGTCTGGATTCCGAGATTCCAGTCTACTTTGAGCGCCCTCCTACGTCAATGATCGAGCGGTTTCACCTTTTCCGTTCTCATTAGGGGGCGGACAGAACTCCATATGTTTTCAACGCCTTCCTGCTTAATGCGTCTACCTACTTCTTCCGACCGATGGGTAATCTGCCCTCTGCGTCTTGCGCGCCTCCTGCATCAGACAGGGCTCAGGCTCCTTCACGTGCCTCGTCCAGGCCACCGCAGCGCCCTGGCGTATACTGGGATGCCACCGTTGCCGCCGCGTTCACGCTGCATGGCCAGCGCACGGAGAGAAAGCCCTCGCTGGCAAGCGAGGGGGCGGCCGAGCAAAGGTGTCGACGGCCAAGGCGGCACAGGGGCAGACCCCTGAGCCCAAATGGCGAATTGCGGGGGGAAGACTAGGGAGGTCGAAGAAGAAAAACTACATGAACATAGAATTTTGGCGCTCCGCGCGGATTTCTTGGATCCGCGCCTGGGCCCCCCAGCGGCGCCTCCGGCGCCGCCCCTGGCGCGCTCCGCGCGCCAGGGAGGGGGGTCCAGCGCGAATCCAAGAAATCCGCGCGGAGCGCCAAAAGTGTATGCTTATGTGGTTAGTATTATTATTATGATTATCATTATTATTATTCTAGGAGGAGAAGGAGAAAGAGGGCGGAGCAGGATATGGGGAAGGCCCTGCGGCCATTCTTGTCCGCAGCGGGAAACGGCCTCGTGACAGACGAGCTCCTCACGGGCCAACCGTTCCGGCGGCGCCCTCTTTGAGGAACGCGAATCGGCAGGGTCACAAAGTTTGAGTCGAACAAACGACGCAAAAAAAACAAACCACCAAAAAAAACAGGCTGCGCCAACATTGGCGCGTCAGCTGCCCGCGCAAGCTCGCGCGTGAGCGCCTTCTTCTCCAAAGTAGCGTGCAGCGCTGGCGGCCCGCGCAAGCCGCCGCGCAAGGTCGCTGTGTCATCCACCGTAAGACCCGTTTTGGTCGTCGCCCACATGTTCATCGATAGCCCCGTTTAAAGGATGATCCGCCCTCAACCGGTACACTTGCTGCACAATTATACACGTCGGGCAGTAAGTTGTGACGAAGTATCAAGTTGGAAACCCGTTCTTGAAAGTCAACCCCCCTCCACCCATGTGACTGGTGAAGACGAGAAAGACGAATGTGCGCGGCGCTGAGGCGAGCGCCCCGTTTTGAAGACGAGCCGCCTTCCATCTACACGGCTGGAAAGTTTAAGACGAGTGTGCGCGGCGCGGGGGAAACGGGCCCGCCGCTTTCATTTGACTGCTGGATGCATTCTGGACGACTGGTGCGCGGTTCTGAGGAGAGCCACGTTTTGAAAACAGGACGCTCCTCCCCCCCAGCCGCGTGACTGCTGGAAGCGCTCAATGCGACGCGCGGCGCTAAGGCGATGGCCACATTTCGAACACGACCCGCCCTACTTCCGTGTTGCCGTTGGGATGTCTGCGACGCAGGATCGGGAAGTGGTGAAGTCTGGTGGCGCGAGGAGGAGGAGGAGGAGAAGTTACGTACGTATGGGGAAGAGGGCTAGGGGAGGATGAGGTCGAGGAGGTCAAGGAGGAGGAGGTCGAAGAGGAGAAAAGGGCCGAGGAGGGAAGAGGGAGGGGAAAGGGGAGGGAGGAGGAGGAGGACGAGTTGGAGGAGAGAGAAGAAGGAGAGTGAGGAGGAGGAGGAGGAGGAGGAAGCTGAGAAGGACGAGGACGACGAGGAGTGAGGAGGGCGAGGAGGCTGGTGTGCCCAACTTACGTGTAACGCCTCTGTGCCCATCCCGCGCAGGAGTACTCTGACCTGCTCCGGGGGGGCAACGCGCGGGCTGCTGCTGAGCTGCTGGCCAATTGGGACGAGGAGCTATTCCCGAGGCCCGACACGGGCAGCGGGGACGTGGAAGCAGTGCGCGATTTCATCAGGAAGGCCTACGTAGTCAAGTGCTGGCAGAGGCTTATGATGTTCCAACCCACTTCAGCCTTGATCGCCAGAATGAACTTCGAGCACCAAGACAGTACCGACACTTGCAGGTTGCTACGGGTCGGGCCCTGGGGGGCGATACTCGTTCGACATTGCTTCGACACTGTTCTGGGCGCTCGAAGTTATTTCTGGGACGTGGCCCTCGAGTACGATGGGAGCAGCATAAGCAGAGGCAGCCACCCCCGCAGAAGTACAGGGCTGGCGAGCTGGCCGAGAGGGAGCTGCCCGCGCAGACGCCCAGGACCTTCTAGCCCGGCTGCCTGCGGCAGGGCCCGCCGCCGTGCCAGCCCAGCATTCTGGGTGGCGGTGGTTACAGGGTGGAGGAGCCATGATGAGGACGAGAAGGACGGTGGTGAAGAAGAAGAAGATGATTATGATGATGATGATGATGATGATGATGATGATGATGATGATGATGATGATGATGATGATGCTGGTGCTGGTGCTGGTGCTGATGCTGATGCTGATGATGATGATGATGATGATGATGATGATGATGATGATGATGGTGATGGTGATGGTGATGATGGTGGTGGTGGTGATGATGATGGTGGTGGTGGTGACGGTGGTGGTGTTGGTGGTAGTGGTGCTGGTTCTGGTGATGGCGATGGTGATGGTGATGGTGATGGTGGTGGTGATAATGATGGTGCTGGTGATGGGCATGGTGATGATGAAGGTGGTGGCGATGATGACGATTATGATGGTAGTGGTGGTGGTAATGGCGGTGATGAGGATGAGGACATGGTGATGAGGGGGAGGAGCAGGAGGAGGAGAGGCAGGAAGAGTTCATACGTGTCGTCTTCACTGTTTGAGGAGCTATCACGGAACTCGTTTGGGCCGTCTTGAGGTTGTCTTGGCCTCATGTGAGGCACTTTGTGGACTCCATTGGGGCCCTCTTGGGCCGACCTAGGGCCTTTTACGCCGCCTTGGAGCTCTCTTGGGTCGTCTTGGGGCCCTCTTGGCCCTCTTGATCGTATGGTGGGTGTTTGGGGGCCGTCTTGGGCCGTCGAAATGCCTTCTAAGGCCGTCTTGGGTCCCACGGGAGGTCCTCTTGGGCCGCCTTGGGGTCGCCTCGGATGCTTCTTAGGCCATCGTGGGACTTCTTGGGCCATCTTGGGACTCTCTTGGGGGCCACTTCAGCCGTCTTGGAACCATCGTGGAGGCTTCTTCGGCCGTCTCGAGGTGACGGAAGCCCTAAAAGGCAAGAATGTGAAAAACAATCAAAAACACACGGGGAAACCAATGAGGTGGGTTTATGGAGGTTCTCTGGTGGTATTTTCTGACCCTCTTGGAGGCATGTTTGGACCGCCTGGAGGCAATATTGAGCCGCCTTGGGGCCGTCCTGAGCCGTCTTCGAGGCAGCTTGGGTCATCTTGGTGTCCTTGGTTGCTTGCATGGGACGCGGATCCATCATTTGGGGCGTTCCACAAAGGGCCCTGCCTAGGAGAATCGAAGGAGTTGCCATCGCTTCCTCGGCGGGAGGCGGCGAAAGTAAAACGAGGCCGCTTCCGCCAGCGGTAGCTGGCAGAAGGGTGGCGGAAGGTGGCGGGAGTAGATTATGTGCCCCCAAGAGATGGCAACTTTTTTGGGGTTCAGGGTTTCTGGAGTCTGGCCTTTGTTCACGAGGGGATCGTGGCCTCGGGAGCGCGGACCCATTTTTGCTTTCACGAGGGGTCCTGGCCTCGGGGAGTGGGGCGGTGCATGCAGAGAACGCGGGCAGTCCCTTCTTGGAAGACGGAAACCCTGCCAGGCAGCCCTCAGCATTCTTCCACGCCTCAGCCTGCACAAGGCACCCAGTGATCCGACGCTCCGAAGAACTTGGAGCGGCGAGCTCTTGACCGTTTCCGGCCTCCGGGGGCTCTCGCCAGGCCCTGAGACCGCCAAAAAACGATTCAGGGCGGAAAGCCGGCCCCAGGGAAGTGGTCCAGACCTCGTGGGCCCACGCATCCGAAACTTTGAGCGGTCGGATGTTTGGGCACGGTGGCGGATATGGTCCAAGATTGCTTCGCGGCAGCGAAGGTGCCGGTGGAGACCAGCGCAGCCTTCTTCTGCTCCCGGCACGACGCCTCCGCCAAGCGGGCCAAGCAAGCAGCCGCCTGGAGGAGCTGCATGGAGTGCCAGTTGAAGCTCAGGACCTCCTACTGCAGCGTCGCCCTGTGCCCCGGGTGCTCCGCGCTGCTGGGCGCCTGCATGATCTGCGGGGAGCCGGGGGCTGCAGGCTGCGCCGCCTCCCCAACGTGGACGGCCGACTTCGACGCCGACTGCCTGCCAGAGGAGGCCCCGGCCCCGACGCCAGACCTCCTCGGCTGCCTACCAGCGGAGGCCCTGGCAGCCACGACGGCGGACCTCCTCGGCTGCCTGCCAGAGGAGGCCCCTACCGCGGCGGCGGACCACCTCGCCCGCCTGCCAGGCGAGGCCCCTACCGCGGCGGCGGACCTCCTCGCCCGCTTGCCAGGCGAGGCCCCTGCCGTGGCGGCGGACCACCTCGGTTGCCTGCCAGAGGAGGCCCCTACCGCGGCGGCGGCTCACCTCGCCCGCCTGCCGGGCGAGGCCCCTGCCGCGGCGGCGGACCCTCTCGCCCGCCTGCCGGAGGAGGCCCCGGCCACGACGCCGGACCTCCTCACCCGCCTGCCGGGCGAGGCCGCGGCCGCGGGCGCGCAGCGCCTGGGCCGCCCGCCGTGCGAGGCCCCCACCGCGGCGGCGGACCACCTCGCCCGCCTGCCAGGCGAGGCCCCTGCCGCGGCGGCGGACCCTTTCGCCCGCCTGCCAGACCCATTCGCCCTGGCCGCGGCCGCGGAGCGCCTGGGACGCCCGCCGTGGGAGGCCCCTGCCGTGGCGGCGGACCACCTCGCCCGCCTGCCGGGCGAGGCCCCTGCCGCGGCGGCGGCGGACCCTTTCGCCCGCCTGCCGGACCCATTCGCCCTGGCCAAGGCGCCGGACCTCCTCGCTCGCCTGCCCGGCGAGGCCGCGGCCGCGAGCGCGGAGCGCCTGGGCCGCCCGCCGTGCGAGGGCCCGGCCGCGGCCGCGGCGCTCGAGCGCGGGCCGCGCCCGGCCGAGGCCGACGTGCCCCTCGGGGCCAGGCCGCGCCCCACGCCGCCAGCGCTGCTCATGGGCGCGCCCGAGGCGGCGGGCGCCACGGCAGGGCAGCAGGAGCCCGCCTCCGCCTCGCCCTCCTCGCCGTCCTCGTCCGTCCCCGCGGTTTCTGCGCCACGCTCGGACACCAGAACACGGCAGAAGCATGATTTCTCGGAGGTCCGCGCGGATGTCTTGTATCGGCGTTGGGGCCCCAGGGCGGCGTCTCCGGCGCCGCCCCTGGCGCCAGAGGCGCACCAGGAAGGGGGGTCCGGCGCAGATCCCAGAAATATGAGCAGACCTTCGAGAAGTTTTGCTCATGCCGCTCTTCGTTCCTTTACATGTGGTTCCCGAGACTCTGGATCCCCTCCCCAGGACCGCTCCTCATTCTGAGTGGCTTTCTGGTGGTCCCGAGGCCCGCTGAGGGCTCCGGAGGCCGACAATGGACACCAGAGCCCCCTTTGCCGCGACATCTCGGACCGAGAAGATGTCCGGGTCCGCAGCCGTTTTGGCCCGAGCGACCGCCAGGAATTTTTCGAAAAGGGCAGCCCCCGTTGCCGCCCCGAGGGAGCGACAGACCCATGCGAGCGGCCCTCGCGCTCGCGCTGTCCGCCCAGGGGGCGGCCGCCTTCGTCCAGGGCGCCGGCAAGGGCGTGCGGGCCGTGCCCGCCGGCCAGCCGCTCGCCGCCGCGGGCCCGCCCCCCGCCGCGGAGGCGGAGGAGGGCACCTCCGCCCGGCCCCGCCTCGTCCTCGGCGCGCTCGGCTTCGCCCTGGGCCTGGCCGCCGCGACGGGGAAGGCTCGGCTACGCGCAAAAAGTGGCCCTTTGCCTGAGTGACCTCTGGTGCGGGCAAGGCAAGGCAAGGGCAAGGCAAGTGCAAAATGGGGGGTGATGGCAAGGCAAGGGCCCGCGAGGGACCCTTGGAGGGCCCCCATGTGGGCCCCGGCTGGCTCCAAGAGGGGGCCCTGAAGGGCACCTTTTTATGGGCCCCTTTACTTCACCCCGCACATTGAGGTAACCCTCCATTCCCACTCCTCCTCCACCTCCTCCTCCTCCTCCTCCTCCGCCTCCTCCTCTACCTCCTCCTCCTCCTCCCATTCCCAGACATCTGGCTGCTCCGATTTTTCCGATGCGTGGTCCCCGGAGATCCTGACCACCTCCCGACAGGACCGGTTTCTCGTCCTGGGTCGCTTTGTTCACGGTCCTGCAGAGCGCGGCGAGGGCCCCCGGAGGCCGGAAGCAGCCCAAAAAAACGCCCGCTCCAAAAGTTTGAGGTTTTGGAGCGTCGGATCTCCGGGTGATCACCCGCCCGAGGCACGCGGGGGTCCCCGTGACGACTGAGCGCGATAGGCGGCGGCAGCGGCCTGCGCGCTCGGCCTTGGCCTCCCCGCGAGCCCCCGACCGCCGCACGCCAGAGGCCGCTCTTGCCCAATAGGGGCCCCTCTCGCGGGTTTCGCCGAGAGCCCAGACCCCCTCGCGTTGTGCAAAAACACGACGGGAGGTTTGTCCCTATTGGCCGGTGCCGCCAACCCTGAAGATGAGGACGCTGGCCACGACGAGTAGAAGGAGGAGAAGGAGCACGAGCAGGGAGAGGAGAAGCATGAGGAGGAGGAGGAGGAGGAGGAGGAGGAGGAGGGTGAGCATGATGGGGAGGAGGAGGTGGAGGCAGAGGTTCAGGGGATGGGGGGGGAATGAAGGGGGGTTAATTGTGAGAGGGGGGAGACTCGGGGGTGGTAGTGGTGCCCGCAGATGTTGACGGAGAAAGAACCCAGACCCCCTCGCGTTGTGAAAAAATACGACGGGAGGTTTTTCCCTATGTTCGGCTTCCGGGCCGCCGGGGGGCCCGTCCTGGGCCTCGGGGCCGTCAAAAAGCGACTCGGGATGAAGAGCCGGTTCCGGCAAAGGGGTCCAGACATGCGGGGGCGGACGCAGTGAAGAAAGCACGACGTCGGTGGTCCGGGAAGGCGTCCGCCAAGCAGCCGTTCCAAACCGATCGGGACTGCTCCTTCGGGGACTCGTTCTTCTCGGCGGCGAGCCCGGGGGGGAAGTGAGGCCCAGGCCTCCGAGGATATGCTCTGTTTCAGGCCAGCGGTTGTGTCATCGATCTCGGCCTCCGGAGCCCGTCGTGGGGCCCGGGGGCCCTCCAGAATGGATCCTGGACGAAAACCCACCCCCGAGGAAGGGGTCGGGACCTTTTTGGGGCCGTGCATTCAAAAAAAACGCATCGGCGGACGTCTGGTGCAGGGGCGGGCCTCCTCAGAAGGCTCGGAAATCCCCTTGGCCTTCTGAGAAATTGTCGAATCCTTCCCTGAAGAAACAGAACGTGTCTCAAACATGTTCTAAATCACACAAACAACTCACAAAAACAACAAGGGGCTTATGAGAAGCCCGGCCGCCTGCTCAGAAGGCCTTCTCCTTCTAATGTCCCCCTCGCTCGCCGCCGACCTTCGACATCTACAAGCAGAACGACTGCAAGAACAAGAGGGTCGCGCCCGACTCGGTCAGGCCCTGGTCTGACTACAAGGACGCGTCGCCAGGGCGCCTCCTGCGCGAGACCGCGGACTCTGGGCCCGCCTTCATGTACGGCCCTGACAGCGAGTTCAGCAGCGGCTTCCAGATGGGTGACAAGATCATGAATAAAAACGGCGACGCCGACGGCCCGGAGACCAGGTTCTGGTCCCGCAGGCCCGACCAGATTGCGATGAAGGGCGGCTATTTCAACTACATGGGCATGGCCGACGACGCGAACGACCCGAAGAGGAAGATCCGGTCCGCCGGGGCGAACTGGAAGTACCTCACTAAGGAGGAGGCAGCCACGAAGGAGGAGATCGACAAGTATTTCGGGAGGATCGAGACTCCTGTGTGGGGCATCAAGAAGAAACCGTGAAATGCCGCCGCTGGTCGCGCGCGCGCGGGACAGCCTCGGCGAGTAGTCGCGTAGTGACTACAGGATTCGCTGATGCACGTGGGCTCCTCCTCCGCTTCCTCCTCCTCCTCCTCCTCCTCATCCTCCTCTTCCTAGTCCTTCTCCCTTACGTCGCCCTCCTCGCCCCCCCTTCGTCCTCCTCCTCGCCGTCCTCGTCGCCCACCTCGTCCTCCGCGCCGTTGTTCTCCTCGCAGGCTCTTCCTCCTCCTGGTCCTCCTCCGTCTCCTCCCGTTCCTCCTGCTGGGGGGCCGGGCACAGCCTGCAAGCAGTGTTCGCGAGCCCAGGGAGGAGGAGAGAGGGAAAGAGGAGGAGAAGGAGGAGGAGAAGGGGGAGGGGGACCAGAATCAACCCAACAAAGGCAGCGATGGTGCAACGCACCCTCCCGTCCCAAGCACACTCTTCATATCTCTTCATGGGTCCCAACCGGTTGTCAGTTTCGCTGGCGGGAGGGGGTCGCCTGATTGAACGACAATCGCCACACGAGCCTCCCCCCCGTCTTGAAAAGGAACCGCCCCCCGTCTTTGCATCTAGCCGACATGTCTAGTCGCAGAAGTTTAATTCAAGTTAGTGCCACGCGATAGACACGTTGTGAACATGACCGCCCTCCATGCGAGCAGCTGTTGTTCACCTTAAACTTCGGGCCATGCCGTGGAAGAGAGAGTACCAAGCAAGAGCACTATGTTCAAAAGGAGCCGCCCGACATGCGTGTGACTGTTACGCATTAGCTCTGGGGCATACAATGTGCGAAAGTTTGAAGCGAGAACCCCGCTTCAAAAAGGAGCCGCCATACACCCGATTGTCAAGAGCAACTTGCGCGGCGCTGAAGCGAGAGCTACATGTTGAAAACGGGCCGCCCTCCATCATTGCGCGGTGCCGGGACGAGAGCCACATTTTGTAAACCACCCGCCCCCCATGCGTGCGGCTGCTGGGAGTCCCAGGTTCAGGATGCCCAGCTGTGAGGAGGGGGTCAGGCGAAACGCCCAGCGCGCCCCACCGGCACGTCCAGTGGTGCGACGAGGAGGAGCTCTTAGGAAAGAGGGGGGAAGGATTAGGTCGGGCCTGTCCCTCTACAGGAGGAATATTCACAAATAGTCCGCAAATAATAAGGGGACGATGTTTCAACTATTTGACTTGTTTTATCTTCTGTCCAAAATCCGCCTGCAGCAGGACATGTCCGAACTAAGGGAAGCAGCAGGAGGAGGCCCAGACAGAAGGCTCTGGGGCTCCCGATGTCTGGCGCGCGCGCGCGAGAGCTCTCTGGGTGGGGGGACCATCGCGAGCCGGGCCGGTCTTGGGCTGGTGTTCTTGGCGAGTGGCGTGAGGCCTCGTTAGATTCGGGGAAGCGTAAGACTCGAGTAAGCCGGAACTCGGGTTTGCTGACATTTTTTGACGAGCGCGTCCTGGATTTTGACGGTCCAGTTTTCGTGGGATGTCTGCAGCGGGAGCTCGCGTCAAATTTCAGATTGGGTCTCGTCATTTTTATGGTGGCCCCGTCAGGCCAACCCGAGTCCCCCGTACCCGAGTCTTACGTCTCCCCGATAGATCCTCCTCACGACCATCGTCAGAATCGTCCTCGTCCACATCATCATCGTTGTCATCGTCCGTAGCCATTTGGGCTCAAGTTGATTCAGATCAAACCAGTCGGCGCAAACTATTGCGAAGGCCTTACGGCCGGTGCCGCCGACCCTGAAGGGGAACGACGACGGCGGCGGCGGCGGCGGTAGCGACGACGACGATGCTGACGTGGGTTGAGTCCTCAAACGTGCTTCTTGGGGTTTCTTCCGAGCGCTCTCAGGGGCCTCTGGGGGGATGTTTGGGGGCCTCTTGGGAGCCTCTTGGGGCCTCTTTGGGCTTCCTGGGGGCCTCTTGGGGGCTTCTCGGGGCTGAGGGCTCGAAATGTCCGTTCGGGTCCCCCATCTGGGCACTCTCTTGGAACCGTCTTGGGGGCCTCTTGTGCCGTCTTGGAGGCGTCTTGGGCCGTCTTCGGGCACACTTGGGCCGTTTGGGGACTCTCTTGGAGGCCTCTTGGGCCGTCTCGGGGCGACCTTGGGGCCTCTTGGGCCGTCTTGGCGCGCGGGGAAGCGGAAGAGGCGAGAATGCCAAAATTCTTGAAAAACGTATGGGAAATCCATGATTTTTTGCCTCTTGGGGCTCTCGTGGGAACGGTCTTGGAGGCCTCTTGGGGCGTCTCGCAGGCCTCTTGGGCCGTCTGGAGGCCGTCAAGGCGTCTTGGACAGATCATTCGGCGATTCGGGGCCCTCTTGGATCGTCTTGGGGGCCTCTTGGGGCACTCTTGGCCAGTCTTGGGGCTTTTTGGGGCTCCCGGTTCACCGGGGGGGCGGCGTAAAAACCCAGGAGCCCCCCGGGACCCGCCCCGGGACCCCACCCCCCCCTGGGCGGGGAAGGGATCAAAGGGAAGGGGCTTCCCTTCGACTCAATTACGACGTTGCTCAATTTCGCTTTGGACTGACACGCTTCAGGAGGAGGCCCTGGGAGAGGGGTAGAAGCAACGACGCTGTGGGGAAAGGGGAAGGAACGACGACGACGACGACGAAGAGGGAACAGACGGAGAAGCCTCTTCCACACGCCGACAGGGTCGGCGGATTTTCAGTACTGCACACATACGTGATAAGGCGAGCCCATGGTGCTCACTATCGTTCACCTTGTACTATTCGCCAACTTCGCCCTGCCACTGCAGGCACTAACGCTGCAGAATGCAGCAGATGAGGCGCTGCTCAGGCGTACTGGTCGTGGCGGTGCAGCGGGTGAAGCCAGCAGTCACAGTGGCATGGTAACTCTCCAGTACCTTGTGGACAATCACGCCGCGTCGGAGACCGAGCTCCATCTCCGTGCGAGCGAAGCGTGGCGCAAGTACGCAAACCAACTTGCCAATAGCGGATGCAGCTACAAAGGGGGATTGCTGCCCTGCCCCAATGGCAACATCTGCTATTACACAGGATCGGGAGGCTTGAACGTGACAGCCACAGTGGAATATCGCGGGAACATCATCAAGACAGTCATATCCCCCGACCCAGATGCAGGAGTCGACATGCCAGACATCGTGACTTTCATGGGGGCTGGTACCAACGACGCTCCTGCGATGCTGCTGGATGTGCCAGCGGAATACCGCAGAACAGCGAACCCCGTCATGTTGAAGATGTTTTTTGTGGAGGACACTGATAACGTCACTGAGCAGTGCCCTCATGACAGTGAGCGCGTGGAGTACGTTGGGAACAGCAGCGCGTCGTACCGCGTTGAGAACAACACGTTCACACTTTCAACGCAAAGCCCAAACACGTTCATGGGCATGGCCTTCGATTTCGTCAGCGAGGCACCTGTGGGTCACACCCTGGCCTTCGAGATCCCTGTCGGGACGGAGATCGTCTGGGTGAGCCGTGAAGAGATGGTCGAGGTGCTCCAGTCGCAGGAGATGCCGGCTTCCCTCGAGAGGCGCTTAGAGGGGCAGTTACGCAAGTCTGCTTTGGCCAAGGGGATGGATGGCGCGCTCACGCAGAAAGGAAGCAGGCGGCGCAGGCGGCGCAGGACGGGGTGCACAGACGGACAGGTTGGTGCCATGGCAGGAGGTGCAGCCGCCGCGGCCGTCGGATTCTTAGTCTGCGCGTTTACTTTCATCGGCTGCTTCACGGCGTCGCCGTTCTTGGTGTCCATGGGGGCCAACTCGGTACTAAACGGTGCTTGCGACTGCTGGGCGAACGGGGAAGTGGGACAGCTCGCCTGCACGTTGCGGTGAGCGGTGGCCGAACACCGTCGGCCCTCGCCCCATGCAATTTTCGAGGTTCATACCCAAGCTTTCATGTGGGGCGAGGGCTGCGAGAGCGTAGTGGCGGTCTCCAAGAACATCTGGCTGGCTAGCCAGGGCGATCAGTATTCGGATGTGAGAGGGAAGCTTCTCGCGGCACTGGTCTCCGCGGCCTTCTCATCCTTGCCATTTGCTGTAGTGAGTTGGCGCGTAGCTTTGCTACACGAGCTGTGAGGGCAGTGCGGCATGCACCGCAAATAGCAGGGGGCATCATTCCTGCTCGCACATGCACGTGGTGTTCTCCGTGCTGCGAGGCGCGTAGCTTTTTAAAAGTGTGAGGTGACAGTGTGGTACACCCGCATATAGCAGGGGGGCCATTGCCGCTCGCACTGCAGATATTGCCTGCTGCGTGCTGTTCCAGCTCAAAAAGATTAAATCATCATCGTCGTCATCGTCATTACTCGTTATCCTGTGGGTGCTGCCTGGCTTTAGCCTGCTCTGCTTGTGCACGACCTTGTAAACTCAACGTTCGATTATCTCAGAGCCCACAAGAGATGGGGAGGGGAACAGCTCATGGGCCTCCTTGCGGCGAAGGCTCGAGCTATTGCAAAGAAGAGGAGAGCAGTCAGATCATGAACACCGATTGGCGAGTGGATCATCATCGCCCTCATCACAAAGCTCACACTCATCGTCATCGCCTTCATCGCCCTCACCCTGACCCTTGTCTTTGCCGTCCTCCTCCTCCTCCTCCCTCCTCCTCCTCCTCATCCTCATCCTCATCCTCATCCTCGTCCTCACCAACCCTTCTCGTCCACCCCCTCGTGCATCCCCAGGCCCCCGACGTCACGAATTTCTCATGGCGTGGATCCCCAGCGATCTCATGGCGTGGACCCACTCCCCGGAGCCAGCTCACTGCTCCTCCCGAGTCGTTCTGTTGACGGCCCCCGGGGCCGCCACAGGGGCCCCCCCGGAGGCCGCGCGCGGCGAAGGACTTCCCGTCGTGATTTTGCATGCCCGGCTCGCGCGGGTCTGTGGCTTGGGCCTCTGGGCCCCTCCGGGCGCCCCTCTCGTCGACGTGGCCGGGCAGGGCCCGAGGGAGGGCGCCAGGCTTCGCCATCACCGACGTGCTGACGGCCCCCCCCCCGATCCCTGCACATCGACTCCAAGCGATTGGGGCAGGGCTAAGAACGACATGTCGTGCGTAGATGACCTCACCGTCTTGGCGCCCATTTGAGGGGCCCGGTGATGGCCGGGCAGGGCCCGAGGGAGGGAGAGACATCTCAAGCATGAAGTCGGGCCTGTCCCCCTACAGGGGGATTGTCGACGAAAAATAAAAGATCCCCCGAAAAGAATCCAAGAATGCTCCCAAAAATAGTCTGGGGATTATTTTTGCGAGTATTTTTGGAGACTATTTTGAGGGCATTTCTGGTGTATTTTTTGATTTTTCGTCGAAAGGTCCTGCGGAGTGAGGCACCGCGCGGATCTGAGCAAGACCTCGCCGTGCCTGGGGGGCTGCGATCTGCGAAGCTGTCGCCACTTTCGAGGGCTGCTGGTGGGTCCTGCGGAGTGAGGCACCGCGCGGATCTGAGCAAGACCTCGCCGTGCTTGGGGGGCTGCGATCTGCGAAACCGTCGCCACTTTCGAGGGCTGCTGGTGGGTCCTGCGGAGTGAGGCACCGCGCGGATCTGAGCAAGACCTCGCCGTGCCTGGGGGGGCTGCGATCTGCGAAATTGTCGCCACTTTCGAGGGCTGCTGGTGGGTCCTGCGGAGTGAGGCACCGCGCGGATCTGAGCATGACCTCGCCGCGCCTGGGGGGCCGCGATCTGCGAAACCGTCGCCACTTTCGAGGGCTGCTGGTGGGTCCTGCGGAGTCAGGCACCGCGCGGATCCTTGCGGAGTGAGGCACCGCGCGGATCTGAGCAAGACCTCGCCGTACCTGGGGGGCTGCGATCTGCGAAACTGTCGCCACTTTCGAGGGCTGCTGGTGGGGGTCCAGCGGAGTGAGGCACCGCGCGGATCTGAGCAAGACCTCGCCGTGCCTGGGGGGGCTTCGATCTGCGAAACTGTCGCCACATTCGAGGGCTGCTTGGGGGGCCAGCATAGCGATCTGCAGAACTGTCGCCACTTTCGAAGGTTGCTGGCGGGTCCAGCGGAGTGAGGCACTTGGCAGATCAGAGCGGGTCCTCGCCGTCCCTTGGGGGCTGCGATCTGCGAAACTGTCACCACTTTCGAGGGCTGCTGGTGGGTCCTGCGGAGTGAGGCACCGCGCAGATCTGAGCGGACCTTGCCGTCCCTGAGGGGCTGCGATCTGCGAAGCTGTCGCCACTTTCGAAGGCTGCTGGTGGGTCCTACGGAGTGAGGCACCGCGCAGATCTGAGCGGGACCTCGCCGTGCCTGGGGGGCTGCGATCTGCGAAATTGTCCCCACTTTCGAGGGCTGCTGGTGGGTCCAGCGGAGTGAGGCAACGCGCGGATCTGAGCGGGGCCTCGCCGTGCCTTTGGAGGATACGATCTGCGAAACCGTCGCAACTTTCGAAGGCTGGTGGCGGGTTCAGCGGAGCGAGGCACCAGGCAGATCTGAGCGAGACATCGCAATATTTGGGGGGCTGAGAGCCTCACGAATGCCGCTCGCAGAAGTATATGCGCCCATGTCATGTCATCACCTCCGTATAACGTCTCCCAAGCTACTCATGCCCCGCATTGCGCAGGGGTTGTGTACGTCGCCAGGGTATTTCTGGGGTATTTTGGATTTTTCGCCAAAAATCCCCCTGTATGGGGGACACGCCCGACATAACTCAAGCAGTGGCGAAGCGTCTTGGCTCGCTTATAGCCCTACCCAAACAATGCCCTAAGAACCTCTTGTGGTTTCCACGAAATGTTCTCAGAATATGTCTGGCTGGGGTTGTCTTGTTTGAACTCATACGGCTTAGGTTCTAAGAACCTGGGTTTTTGCTCTTAGAACATTTTAGGGTTCTAAGAACATTTCGTGGTAGGACTATAGGAATGCCAGAACGGTCGGTCCCTGCTCAAGACATCGGAGTTTGATAGACCTCCTACCCTGACACGTGGATTAGTGAATTGGCCGTTGTCGGTTCGCGAGAGGGCGTCACGGACGCTGTTTTTGCGGGTCCGGGTCCGTTGGTTTCGGTCCGAGGCCGTTTTCACTCAAGGGTGGTTTACGAAAGGGAGGTTTGTCCGCCGCCGAAGACAGACCCAGAGATCCGACGTCGTGATTTTGTTCAACACGGGGCCCCCGGTTTTTCAAGACGTGTCTCGACCCATTTCCCAGGACCAGTTTTTCCTCCTGAGTCGTCTTTTGACGGTCCTGGGGCACGGCGAGGGCCTCTGGAGGCCTTAAATTGGGAAAACCGGTGTTTCATCCTGAGTCGTTTTTGGACGGGCATGGGGCCCAGCGAGGACCTCTAGAGGCCGTAAGTTGCGAAAACCCTCCGTCTTGATTTTTTCAATGCGTTCGCGTCTAGGCCTCCTAGATGGGGTCGGCGTAGATAGGGTCGGAGGCTCGCGTCGCATCGGCGATGCATCGGCGATGCGGCTCGATGTGGGGCCCAATTTTCTCCACGCCGGCGTCGCGGATGCATCGCCGACGTCGCCCGTGCACGCCCGAAGCATCGCCGAGCTGCACCGGCGATGCATCCCCGATGCATCGGCGATGCGGCGCGAGCCTCCGACCCCGTCCACTCGGACCCCATCTCTAGGACAGGCGGCGGGCGAGGGGGGGAAACGAGAAGGAGAAGGCCTTCTCAGAAGGCTCAGAAGTCCCCTGGCCTTCTGAGAACTTTCCTAAGCCCTCCCCGAAGACACCAGAAAACCTCTCGGAAGGCGCGGGGGCTTCCGAGAAGTCCTGCCGCCTTCTGAATAGGCCTTCTCCTTCTCATTTCCCCCCCTCGCTCGCCGCCGATGGGAGGCCTCGGGTTGGGCCTCCGGGGAGCGGGCCGGGCGTGGCGGGCTGGGGCCGCGTGCCGCGGCGCGTCCGCCCCGTCCCCTGCGGGGGGGGGGCGCAGCGGGCCTGGCCAGCCGTGCTGCACACGCGGCGGGCCAGGCCCGCTGGGCCGTCGGAGGGCACCGGGGGCCCACCGCGAGGCCTCCTCCTCCCTCCCCCCTCCTCCTCCTCCTCCTCCTCTCTCCTCCTCTCCTCCTCCTCCTCCTCCTCCTCCTCCTCCTCCTCCTCCTCCTCCTCCTCCTCCTCTCCTCGTCTTCTTCCCTCCTCCTCCTCCCTCCCCCCCTCCCTCCTCTCTCCTCCTCCTCCTCCTCCTCCTCCTCCGCCTCCTCCTCCTCCTCCTCCCTCCTCCTCTCTCCCTCCTCCTCCTCTCCTCCTCCTCCTCCTCCTCCTCCTCCTCCTCCTCCTCCTCCTCCTCCTCCTCCTCCCTCCTCCTCCTCCTCCTCCTCCTCCTCCTCCTCCTCCTCCTCCTCCTCCTCCTCCTCCTCCTCCTCCTCCTCCTCCTCCTCCTCTCCTCCTCCCTCCTCCTCCTCCTCCTCCTCCTCCTCCTCCTCCTCCTCCTCCTCCTCCTCCTCCTCCTCCTCCTCCTCCTCCTCCTCCTCCTCCTCCTCCTCCTCTCCTCCTCCTCCTCCTCCTCCCTCCTCCTCCTCCTCCTCCTCCTCCTCCTCCTCCTCCTCCTCCTCCTCCTCCTCCTCCTCCTCCTCCTCCTCTCCTCCTCCTCCTCCTCCTCCTCCTCCTCCTCCTCCTCCTCCTCCTCCTCCTCCGCCTCCTCCTCCTCCTCCTCCTCCTCCTCCTCCTCCTCCTCCTCCTCCTCCTCCTCCTCCTCCTCCTCCTCCTCCGCCTCCTCCTCCTCCGCCTCCTCCTCCTCCTCCCCTCCTCCTCCCCCTCCTCCTCCTTCTCCTCCTCCTCCGCATCATCATCATCAGCAGCAGCATCATCATCCTTTTCCTCCTCCTCCTCCTCCTCCTTCTCCTCCTCCTCCTCCTCCTCCTCCTCCTCCTCCCAGACATCCAACGCATTGAAAAAATCAAGACGCATGTTTTTTTCGCAATTTTCGGACCCTAGGGGCCCTCGCCGGGCCTCGGGACTGTCAACAAAAAGACTCAGGATGAAAAACCGATCTCGGGGAGTGGGTCCAGACCTCTGGGGGTCGACGTCATGAAAAAATCATGACGTCGAGGGTCTGGAGTGGCAGGCCCCAACGGCCCTGACGAGATCCTGGCGCTGCCATTTTTGCTCACTGCGGCGCGACTTCGGGCCCAGGGGCCCTCTCACAGATCGGTACGGCTCGAAAAACGAGGCAGAAAGATTGGCAAAACCTTTGCATCGTGATTGTTGTTACCACACGAGGGGGTCTGGGTCTGTTTCTCCTCCATGGCTCCTGAACTCTTCTAGACCTCCCAGATGGGGTCCGAGTGGATGGGTCGGAGGATCGCGCCGTCGCCGATGCATCGGCGATGCGGCTCGATGTGGAGCCCGATGTTCTCCGCACCGACGTCGCCGATGCACTGCCGACGTCGCCGATGCATCGGCGATGCATCGACGATGCGGCGCGATCCCCCGACCCCATCTACCCGGACCCCATCTGTGAGACCTAGAGGCAGGTTCGTCGTGTCGTAGGGGCACGTTAGGAGGGGCGAGGCTCTGGGAGGGGGGTCGGAAGCCTCGAATTTCAAGGCTCGCAGGTTGAGGTGTTCGGGCGTTTTCGTCGTTTCTCGGCGGCTGTCCAGGCTCTGGATCCTCTCCAGCAGGACCTCATCCAGGAGGCCTCCACATGGCTCGTTTTTCGGCTCCTCCGCTTCGATTCGATCCGATTACGCTGGCTCCCGGTTTCGATTCGGTTCGACCTGGGATTCCGATTGGGGCTCCGACTCCTCCACGGAGGCCTCCCAGCCTGCCGTTGTCTGCCGACCCGGCTTCTCCCGACTCGGCTGCCGGCTTCCGCGTCGACCCGCTGCACCTCGACTGCCGCTCGGACTCACCGCACCGATCTGGGGCCCCGCTGCCTCGAGCTCTCGGGGGAGGAGGAGGAGGAGGAGGAGGAGGAGGAGGAGGAGGAGGAGGAGGAGGAGGAGGAGGAGTGGGAGGAGGAGGAGGAGGAGGAGGAGGAGGAGGAGGAGGAGGAGGAGGAGGAGCCCCCCCCCCACACCTCCCCCTCGTGGGCGAGGAGCGCGGCGCGGCCTCCGCTGCCCTGCGGCGGCGCCGCATCATCGCGCTGTGAGCGGCCCCCGCGCCGCCCGCCGGAGGGCCGCAGACGCCCGGAGGGCTTCGCCCGCGCGCGGGCGGGCGGGCGTCGTGCCAGGACTCGGCGGCGAGCCCGAGGGGGGGATGCAGGGAGAGGGGGGGGGGGGGGGCGAGCCTCCTCTCAGAACGCTCGCAGGGTCGCTTCCGGCCTTCCGAGCAGTGTTCTGGGCCTGCCCCGAGGACAGAGCCGGCTCCTCGGGATGCCGGAGGGCTTCTGAGAAGCCCCGCCGCGCCTTCCGAGAAGGCATGCCGCCTCTCACTTCCCCTTGGGCTCGCCGCCAGGTGTCGCTCCAAGAACCCCATCGCGTCGTGAACAAGAAAAAGCACGACGGGCGGTCTTTGGCAGGTTTCGGCTTCTGGGGGCCCTCGCCCAGCCCTGGGATCGTCAAGAAACGGCTCGGGAAGAAAAAGCGGTCGCCAGTCGGGGGTCCAGATCTCTGGGGGTCCACCTCTGGGGCTGGGTTCGAAGAAGAGGAAATTGCACGAGCATCGATTTTCGAAGGCCCGCGCGGATTTCCGGGATCTGCGCTGGCGCGTGCCGCGCGCCAGGAAGAAAGGCCCGATGTCGACCGAGGAATCCGCGTGGACGTTCGAAAGTGTACGTATGTTTAAGTATGTTGTGCCTTTTTCTAGTCGCGTCGACGCGGCGGTGACCACAGCGTGGGCGTTCGAGGTTAAACCGCGACAGCGGCCCGGAATCGGCGAACACCAGACGATCTGAGCTATGGGACGTGACCGCTCAAGGGGTTGAACGATTCTCACGGTGTCAGAGACCAGCGCACGAGTCGTTGAACTTGCCGCAAGCCGTCTGCATTTCACGTGCGGCCTCGTTTTTTCTAACAGCTCACTGAGGCGGCCAGCGAAGCTGCGGTGCTGTCGTGATGCTGCGTGTTAGCTGCTATGCTGTATTAATGATCCACGTAGAACCTGCGAGGATGGGCCTGATGCGACCAAGCGGCGCAGACTCTCCCATCACCCGTGCGAAAACCTCTTCTGACGATGCCGTATTCCTGAACATGTTCCATGGGACACGCTTGAGCGCAGGGTGGTGTGTGCCATCTTGTCCGGCAAATAATCGTGTACACCTGTTCAAGGGGGCGGTGCTCTTGACCCTTCAGGAGGCCTCACGCCACGCTCCGATCGTATCGATACCCCTGCCCAGTCTAGCGCAGCCCAGCCAGACACGCGTCTCTTGCGGTGTGCATCTTGCGCGCCTCCTCGGGCTTGCCACCCCCTCCCCCTCGGCCCGCTCGCAGCCGTCGGGGTGCTGCTCCGCCTCGCACCCGTCGGGGTGTTGCGCCGCACTCCTCGTCCTCGCAAGTGCTGCCAGCGATGCTGACGATGCTGACGTCATCGCCACCGTCATCGTCGTCAGCGAAGATGTGCCCCGGCCGTGCTGTCCTGCCTGCCGCCCCGCTCGGCCCCGCCCCCTGCGCCCGGCCCGGCCCGAGCGCCGAGCAGGGCGACGCAGCGGCCACGGCTGGTTCGCGTCGCGTCGGCGCGCGGCGACCCCGCGGCGCGCGCTCAAGGTTGAAGGCCTCCAGCGGCACAGGATCAGCCGATGCGGAACGAGCTGGCGGCCGAGAAGCCACCGGTCTTTCAAGGTCGAAGCAAGCCACGCGGTATCGGGAATCGTTGTGACGGGGTCGTCACGACACGAACCTGCCGCAGGAGGAGGGGGCAATGGCTGGAGATGCGCAGCCAGTACCCCCTTTGTAAATCTTGAGAGCGGCGGCGCAGCTCAGCTTCCTCGATACGTCCGTTTAGGGTCGCGACACGTACCGTGCTCAAAGCGTCGGTGTCAATACGTTGCGGGTTGGCCCAACGCATTGGACCACGGTTTGGCAAACGCATCGCGTCAGACCTACGTTTTCAGTCTACGTGGTGAGCTCCGTATCAATGCTTTTTCATGCCCAGACAGAACACCCAGACGACACCACCCGAAGGAAGGTGCCCGGTGCCTGCATGAATTCACATGCAGTCGGACCTCGCAGCATGAACGACAGCGCAGAAACGCCCCAGACGTCTCATCTGCGCCGCCGTTGCGAGGCGCCTCGAGATGCCACCCCGAGACACGGCCACCGGCACCAAGCCCACTTGGCCGCTGGCCTCAAGCAGCACAGACCCCTTTGCCCGAGGACTTTAATTCCCGCGCCCCCCCCGTCGGGGGACCTCTTCGAGTAACCCCATCGGGCCTCTCAGGGGTGGTACGGCGGACCCGCACTTAGTGTGGTTGGCCAACCACAGGGCAAGAGTCTCTCCCACAGCCCCGTCGGGCTGTGGTGACGATCGGGCTGCCAACCCACCTGTTTTCCTGGGACGCCACGAGGGCATCCAGCGGCACAGGTGCCAGCTCCGTATCAATGCGCTACGTGTTGCGTGTTGCGTATCGGGCCAGCTGTCACGAAAAAGTTGCAATCTCGTAGGAGAACGGCCGGAGCCCTGGACCCCCTCTTTCTACGGCATCTCTCGAGCCGGGTCGATCCGCGAGGGTCCCAAGACCCGAAGCAGGGCAGAATCGCCCGTTGCGATCTGAATAATTACGGCAGCGTGGCCCTCGGAAGGGTCTTGTGTCCTTCTGCGTGTCCTCTCTACTCGAAGTCGACTGCACGACACGACGACGGCTCCAACGACACGGCTCAGCATGGCGAGCATGGCGCGATTCTCCAGCCCCATCTGCTCGGCCCCCTCCTGGGAGGCCTCAGGATGCTTCAGACCCTGCAGGATCCCTTATCTGATGAGGGCCACGGTGCTATCCATGGCCAGGCATCAATTGGTGTTCCACTGGCTTCCAGACCCTGGTTTCCTGATCTCAGGGTTCCTAACCCAATGCCCTCGCCAGATTCACCCCTGACGTTGCCCGTACGACGCGACGAACCCAGACATCCGGCCGCTCCAATGTTTTCGATGCGCGGGCTCCGGAAATCTGAACCACTTCCTTGGGGCCAGTTTTTCCGCCGGAGTCGTTTTTTGACGGTCTCGAGGCCCAGCGAGGGCCCCTGGAGGCAGAAAACGGCCACAACCGGCCGATCCAGTTTCTTCGGAGCGTCGGATCCCCTGCCCCCCCATGCCCCGCGTGTTGCAAGGCAGCACCCAGCGCGGTCCCGACACCCGCCAAAGATCTGCTAGCCCAGACCCCCGACGCCGTGATTTTCTCGTGACGTCGACCCCCAGAGGTCTGGACCCACTCCCCGAGACCCGCTTTTCATCCTGAGTCTTTTTGTTGACAGTCCCGAGGCCCGGTGGGGGCCCCCAGAGTCCGAAAACATGGAAAAGCCTCCGGTCGTGATTTTGTTCATGACTCGAGGGCGTCTGGGACCGCTGGTGCTCCTCGGCCCGCGGCGAGAACAGGCCCCAGCAGCCGTGCCGGCTCAGCATGGCGGGCCCGCGCCGCGCGGCGGCGGGCGCCGGCCGGCCCGGCCGCGCCCCGCAGGCGGCGTTGCGGTGGCTGCTGTTGGCGGGCGGCCTCGGTTGCGGCCTGCCGCGGGCCCACGCCGCGGGCCGGGGCGCCTCTGCGGAGAAGGCGCCGCCGTCGTCGTCGTCGTCCTCCTCGCCAACAAGAAGAACAACAACCACAAAAAAGCCCTTCCCCTCCCCCCCCTCTCCCCCTCCTCTCCCCCCCTCCTCTCCCCTCCTCCTCCTCCTCCTCCTCCTCCTCCTCCTCCTCCTCCTCCTCCTCCTACTCCTCATCGTTGTCATCATAATTATCAGCAGCAGCAGCAGCAGCATCAGCATCAGCATCAGCATCAGCATCAGCATCATCATCATCATCATAATCATCATCATCATCATCATCATCATCATCATCATCATCATCATCATCATCATCATCATCATAGCATCATTAGCATCATCATCATCATCATCATCATCATCATCATCATCATCATCATCATCCCCCTCCCCCTTTCTGCTCCTCCTCCTCCTCCTCCGCCTCCTGCTCCTCCTCCTACTCCTACTCCTCCTCGCCACATGACGAATCAGAATGGTGTATTACTTGGCGACCACGCGGCCACCAAGCTTTTTGTCAAGGCCTATGGCAGCGGCGTACAGATGATGATTGACATAATGGACACAGATCCGTGGCAGAGAGCGTTACACACGCAGCTGCCAAACCCACTTCGTGCTGAACAAGATCGTACAGTAACAGACTTGGCCACGTCAGCTTTCGTGGACGATATTGCCCGCAAGGTTGCGGGCTCGAATATATCACATCTCACCGAGGTAGCAAAATGGGAAAATCGAGTCGTCGATCATCTCATGCAGGAAGTTGGAGGAGCACAGATCATTGAAAAACAGATGAATCTTGTTCAAGGGGCAGGTCGAACAGCAGGTGCAGTAAATAGAACATATCATGAACAAAAGCAACACATGGAAGGACAGGTGGTAGCAGAAGCGAGATACTTGGGAGGTCGGCAACACTTCAACAACGGTTTCTCGGCGGAGAAGAAGTTCAGAATGCAGGCAATACGAACAGCATGGCACAAGATGGGCAAGTTCTGGTCCACCCCCAAGATCTCCATGAGGTTCAAAGGCATAGTGTCCTCGGGGCTCATCATCAACGCGGCCTTGTCGGGCCTAAAGGCGTTCGTTCTCAACATGCGATCCCCTATCACGGTTCAGTCTCTCGCACCGATGCAGCAAGTAGTCTACAAGTTCGCGGGGGTGGTGCTCAGGGGTAAACATACTACGAGGCAGCTGGACAAGATCAGGGCCCCCTCCAACCTAGAGGTTCAGAGGCACTTGCAGTTCGGTACGTTATTCACGGAGCCCCGCATCAGAAGGCTCAAGTGGCTCTAGGAGGTCGTCACCCACCAGAGAGCCCACCAGCAAGTGATAGCGGCCCTTGCAGGGCGAGCTCAGTGTGAAAAAAAAGACGATGGAGTAGATGTAGAAGGCAGGCTCCTGCCCACAGCAAACGCGTGGCTTCAGCAGTTTTGGAATGATGCCGAGGCTCTCGAGGGGACCTCTGAGGGACCGATGCTCTTGGAAATCATGGAGGGAAGTTTTTTTGAAGCGTTTCAACGGGGAGGCCAGGGACCTGTTTTGTAGGATTGACGCGTCTGAACTTAGATCTCGAGAATTGTCTAGGCAGGTAGCGCCTCCAGAGCACCCCACAGAGGTTGAGATCTACCAGCCCCCCACTCCCGAGGGCATGGAAGGATCTCCAGGGGTGCTCTGTCCCGTCTGTGGGGAAGGCTTTATGAACAGGAAGAGTATGGTTTCACATTGTGTCAGAGTCTGTGCGAGGGGACGTGAGGACACTGAAGCAATATTGCGTCAGATATGTGCCACGGATCGCATCCCCGATGTAGCCACGCTGTCGAATTATTGCATCTTATGGAATAGCAATGTTGCAAATGGGGCCACAGCTCAGTGGCACCTTGCAGCGGCCATCGCCAACAGAAGGTGCATCCATAATTTCAGTGTGAGGGCCCCGAATAGGCAGGAGCACTACACCACGACCTGTGACACTCATCTCGCGAATGCACACATACTAACGAGCATCGGGAAGCATGTTTTACATGTTGATGTCGAAGTGGCTGGGAGATATGGAGCAGATCGAGGCGAGCCAGGCCCCGTCCAAGAAGCCCAAGGGCGTAGGCAAGGGGGACGAGGGCAAGGAGAGGAAGATGATGCAGCTGTTGGAGGCGAGTACGCGAGAACGAGAAGCATCAGTTGTTCACTTCAAAGGCCCGACGGGCCACCATGTCTATTCGGGCGCGAAGAAGGCCACAACCAAGCACGAGAGCCTCCCTCGCGAGCCAGAGGCAGGACACGAATACGGATCGCCTCATCTACACGACGCAGCTGCTCTTCTCTCAACATTGGAGTGCGCC